TTTTCCTTTTCAGTGTTCATTCGTGCCAGAGTACAATAATCAGCTAATTTTGAAACCAATTTATAATATGAAAGTTGTAAAATAATTAAGTCAACCAGAAATTTCCAGGTGTTTTTAATAAATACATCATCGTTATTTAAAAAAAAAAAACAAGGTAATACGACCTGTGTCTGGAAATGGTCCACTCATTTAATAATATTAAAAATATGACTTGCTAAGCGCAATGGCGTCTTAATTCTCTTCAGAGTCTTTCCCCTTAGCATCTCACACTTTTATCGCAGTGTCGCTTCTTTTTTTTTATAAAAAAAAAACAATCTTCCAGTTTCTATTTTGAGATCGCCATCAGCAGCTTCGTCGTGTCCACCTTGATCTCATCGCTTTCTAAAACTTCGTCCCTTTCAGCGGGAATTTTTGTTTTTAGAAAAGTCGGAAGTTGCAGGACGGGGAAGATAAAAGGAGCTGAAAGAATGAGGTGATTGTTATATTTTTATCAAAAAATAAAAAAAAAACTTGCAAAAGATATTCAAAATGGATGGATATTTTCAGGACAGATTTTTTTTTTTTTCGGGAAAATGACAATGGTAATATTTGCCGTTTCCTTATAAGGAAACATTCGGCATTCATTGACCAAGCAGCCAGTACTAATTTCGGTTGAAATTTATAAAATCTTTCCCTTAAAACAATTTTTTCTGTGAAGTAGGTTTCTCAAGTCCATTAGCTTTTATCGCCTTTATCTAACCTTTTAATTGAAGTAATCTGGAATGTCAACATATTCATTATGTCAAAGGTTAATGAAGACTAAGGATTAATAAGTTCATTTTATGACTTTTTTCCCCGATGCACATTTTATTATCTTGTTTATGATGCTCGTCAAAATATTTTAGTCAAGTAAAGCTAGCAAGAAATCCACATAATCATCTTTCTACATTTAATCAAATATTTTTTATATCTATAATCTGCCTGAAGCTCTTTTATTTGATTATTCTGAAATCAATGCAGCTTTGATGTTGTTATGATTTCAACATTTCTTGAGAATATATATCGTCAAACAAGGTGTGTAAAATTATGGAAACACATTTTATGTTCTTTCTATTTAATTCATTTTTAATATAAATTACTTTTTTTGTCAATTTTCAGATAATTGGAATTATGATGTCAAAACAGGATTCTAACCAGATTTATTTCTATGAGTTTAAACACGGTTACAGTGCAGCACAAACAATGGCATTTGCGAGCAAGGAAGTTGTAAATGAATGAATAGTACAACGTTTGTTTTTAAAAAAAAATCCGTCGTAGTGAATTCACACGTGAAGAAAACGAAAATCGCGGACATTCTTCTGCAATTGACGATGCGGAATTAAAGGTTTTAGTGGAACTAAATCCTCTCAGAACTGTTTGGCAGCTTACAGGAGAGCTAGATATAAGTATAGGAACAATTTCTGTACATCTGAACCGAATTGGAGAGTCCAAGGAGTTTAAAAATAAAAATAAAAATATGTCATTGTAAAACGTGAAACGGATCACCGTTATGAAGTCTACTCTTCGCTTCTTTTACGCAACTAAAACGATTCATTCCTTGATCGCATTATGACATGCGACGAAACGTGGACAATATCCAACATAGTGACTGAACTGAGATGAAGTTCTTAAAGATTTTCCAAAGGGAAGCGGCTTTAAAAGAATGTTATAGTGACCGTTTCGTGGTCTGGGGCCTGATTAATCTAAGATAAAATTTATGAGTTCTTGCGAAATAAATGCAACAATGAAGTAATTGCCTAGAAATCAACAGAATACATCAAGAATTGCAGCGTATGGTCAGTGGAAACGGTTTAATTCTCTTACACGACAATCCTCGACCACACGTCACAGCAACAAACGTTCCAGGAATTGAACGAATTTGGTTAAGAAGATATGTTTCGTCAAGCATACTCACCGGAACGTTCACCAAAGACCTACTACTATTTCATGCTTCTTGACAATATTCTATAAGAAAAAGTCTTCAACATCTAAACAGCCGTAAAAATACCTTCGAAAAATTCGTCGCATGAGAATCTTACGTTACCGGAATAAACAAACATGGCAAGCATTTGTAGATGCTAAATGGTTTTTATTTTAATCAGTATTTTGAACGATGTTTTTACTAATATTCACCCAATACAATTCCCGAGAGCCACTCAAGGTAGAGGGTTACGGTGTGATGATGTATTAGCGTAAGGAAGAGTAAGAAATAAAATTAATGGGGTTAGGTAGGAAAGATGACAGTTAACCCTAGACTTGAAGAGGTCAAAGCAGCAGTTTCCTGGAAAGAAGCAGTCCGAAAGTACTATAGTAAAATACGAATGGGAATTATCTATACATGTATATGTGGCATGGTGGGTCCCAGCTGTAAAGGTCAGGGATGGTTGGACTAAGGAATGTATCTCGTCAGAACACATGCCATGGAAATAGCGATAGGGCAACGAGAGGCTCACGAATTTAAGTCTATGCGTGAAAGGATTGTAGGGAATGTACTGTAATGGAAGTAGTGTATCGGTATAATGTTAATTAAAAGGATGATGTTTTACATGTAACCACACCAGCCAGCGCTGTCTGAATAAAGGGAGCAGACATCACACCCACATCCGTTCATGGGGAGATACACAGATCATACAACTTTGGAGACCCCGTCTGGGTAAAGCCTCCCAATTGCCGATGCACTACCAGTTTTTTTTACTAATGTCTACAAGACTAAAGAGCCACTCAAACTAGTGTTACTCTATGTAAAGAAAGGGCAAGAAGTAAAGTTCTTGTGGCTATGCAGGAAACATAACAGCTAATTTTATACTTGAAGAGGTTAAGATTTGATTAGTGAATAAAATTTCCGACTTTAAACGGAGACATTAGAAGCATAGAGCTGAAGTAGATTTTAGAAGGAACCGGAAACTGTAAATCTTTTCTAAACAGGAAACAAAGAATAAACCTCTACTCCTGTTCAATAGAATTGGGAGGAGTATGAATTAGACGATAGGCGAACCTATCTACTTCTGTTGGAGTGGGGACGGAGGAAAAAATAAATAGTGAAAAATTTCACTGTTCAGCCAGGGACTTCAGAAGTATAGAGTTGAAGTAGACTTTAGAAGGAATCCGAAACTGACTCCTAAGCAAGGAACCTCTACTCCTATTCAAAAGACCAGGGAGAAGTGTTGAATTCTTTAATGTTTACCGATCTTTTTTTACATGAGATTCACCCTGTAATCGGCCCAAAAGCTTCTCGGGGTAGCGGGTTACAGAATAAAAGGAACAGTTTATGGGGATATGTGGGGAAGATTAACATTTTACCTGCATTCATTTCTGAACAACCAGACAGTAACAAAATATCAACTTCTTCCATTAACCGGGGTAGTCCACTAGATGACCAACCAATAAAACACACAGAATAATAAAAGTCAGCTCGATGTCAAATCGATGAAGCATTTCAGATCAAAATGAAAACGATAGTATTTCTCCGCCGCCCCAAATGACTAGATTTCATGAAGCGCGCGTACGTGTTGGTAGTCGCAGAAATTATCCAATTTGCCTTTGGTACATCTCAGACATCAGGAATTAACCCTATCCATATCCTCTTATGTTCAATAGAGATATAATGTCAGTGGGGTTCTCTGCAATTCGACATTCGTTATTTTGTTTTTTTTTGTTTTTTTGTTTTTTTTGTCTTCCAACCAAAACGATCAATACATTTATCAAGTGACAATGCTTTTAATTAAGCTAATGTATCTATTTTTGAATTGATTGAAATCTTGTATTCATTGACCGAGCAACCAGTACAACTTTTGGTTGAAATTTATAAAATCTTTCTCTTAAAGCATTTGTTATAGAAAATAGGTTTCTGTTATCGTTTTTTCTAATATTGGGGCGTGGTTTCCTCTCTAGCCTTTTATATCGAGTCGTGTGGAATGTCAACATATTCATTATGCCATGGTTAATGAGAACTTAGGATTGATAAATTGATTTGACGACTTTTTCACTCTGATGCAAATGTTCTGATCCTGTTTACGATGCTCGTCAAACGATTTTAGTCAAGCAATACCAGTCTGTTAAGAAACTCATGTCATCATCTTCATACTTTTAATCAATATTTTCATCGGCAATCTCCTTGACGGTTTTCTGTTAGGTTTAAATAATCAAATTTCATTAAAGCAATTTGACGTACAAGTATGCAATACTGATGTTGATCGCTTATTAAAACAGTTGCAATGTCTTGATAATAGAAAATAGTAAACATGCATGAGAAGCGAAATCGTAATTTATGAGGTTACTTTGATAAATGGTAAACTGGTTTTGACAGAAGCCGATTGAGATGATTGCGAGTTTAAAGAATTGCAATTTTTAAAATGCGATGAAACTGGAACTGTCAAATCTAGAGCATCTTTGGTCAGCTGCTGTTCCGAATAGATCCGAAATAAAGTACTAATTACGATATCGATACGGTTCTTTCCGGTACGCTTCTTATCACTGACTTGAAATAATAGCGATGTCTTACAAGATTTAGTTGAAACGGGTCGATTATATCGGCTTACCCTAATGATCTCTTCGAGAACTGCTTGTCGAGCATCGGCGCCATCTTGAGTAATATTTTCTTTCATAAAATCTCTTGTCAGATTCATAGAAATTGACAAAGGCATTTTTACAGAACCATGACGGCATATTGGAGTGAAAGGACGTTCATACATAATACGGTTGCGGAAAAACGATTCACCGTGCTTGTGAGATTGATTAAAAGATGTTTGTGTTCGGATATAATTATTGTTGATATAGGGAAACATTTTCTTGTCAATTTTGTGAATCCATTCAGCAGCATCTAGTTCATATATAATGTCCTTTTTGTCCGGGGAGGCGTTACCTTTCGTCAGTAAGATATATGCAGATACAAAATTGTCATTTTTACAGGCTAGAAGCAAAGGCGTGAAGCCGTCGCTATTTGGGCAGTCAATATTCAAATGATATTTCAAGAATTCACAGACTAGGATATCCACGATGTCTGGCTGCCCAGCTTCAGCTGCCAAGTGAAGTGGCGTATTACCATCTTTGTCCGTTTCGGACAAGTTCATAAAAATATCTCGCTTTAGGATGCGCCGGACAATGACAGGTCTCCCTTTCTGAGCAGCATAACTTAAAGCTGATCGCTGGTGGTTATCTTGAATGTCGACTTCAGTCCCCGCCGAAATAAGAATCTTCGATATTCTGTTGCAGACTTCTTCATCTTCCAGTCTACAGGCGACCGTTAAGGGGGTTTGACCGTACATATCACGGCTATTTAACAAGTGAGGAAATTGTCGCACTAGAAGTCGCACTTGGTGAATCCGTTGATCCAGAACTGCTTGATGGAGGGCCGTTTTGACTGGCCGAGGCATTGTTCAATTTTCAATTGTCTTTCGTTCGTTTATTAAGGGATGGTGCTTTTCATACGTCTTTGATGACAACCTGTGAATGAAACATACAAGTTATATATCAATATCATCAATAATTCAACTTGTTACCTATAAATGGATGCGATAAATACAACGCCTATAACATATACACTATTATATAATTACTTTATTTCTCCCTCTCTGAGTTTCCTGCTCATTCACATATATATATATATATATATATATATATATATATATATATATATATATATATATATATATATATATATATGCATACATACACACACACACGCACACACACACACACATATGTATATATATATGTATATAAATTGGGATCAAATACAGATCAAATATGGATCAGAATTGTGGAATAAAGAACAAATAGGAAACGTTTATCAATATAACATGTTTCACTTTTATTAAAGCTTCATAAAAAATACTAAGATATTTTCTATGTCATTCTCTGATGAATTTTAATAAAAGTTAAACATATTGGATTGATAAACGTTTCAGCTTTGTTCCTCAATCATATATATATATATATATATATATATATATATATATATATATATATATATATATATCTGTATGTGTGCGTGTGTATGTGTGACAAAGTGGGAAAAAAGTTTACTTGTGACGCGTTTCGTCCTTCAGGACTTCATCGGATTAGTATTTTTAATGTTGGTAGGACTACACATGCGCACGGCAGAGGGATGATGGGATTTATTTTTATCATTCGAATTAATTTAGAGTCTTTTTTTCTTTTTCTTTCCATCACTTTTATGAGTAGGTATTCCACACTGTCATATTGTTTCTGAAATGATGAAATGTTGTAAGAGCCAGGGCAAAAGTTTACTGTAGCTGACCTTGCAATTAAATCAATCTCAAGACATTTACGTCGTAGGAAATTATACTCCTTTCATCATGGTAGCATTTTTTAAAGTTGAGGACAGTGGGCAACCAATGCATTTGATGTATTATTTTGTAAAATATCCCTTTTGTGTTCATATAATCTTTTATTTAGATTCCTTGAGGGTTCTTCTATGTATTTTTGTGACAAATATTAGACGTCGAAAAAAATTCCTATCATCCTTCTGCTGTGCGTATGTGTAGTCCTACCAATGTAACAAAATTAGTCCGATGAAGCCCTGAAGGATGAAACGAGTCAAGTAAGAATTTTTCACTTTGTCATAAAATTTCCCCAATAATGTTCTTGATATATAAAAAATATATCGTTATCATATATATATATATATATATATATATATATATATATATATATATATATATATATATACGCGCTGGGGGTTACAGTGAGTGAAAATGGAAGAAAAGACTGGATAAGGGAAACTGAGGAAAGGATGAAAGCTGAAGGGAGTTCAAAAAGATAAAAGAAGATGGCGATTGGCGTTGCATTTAAATTTTTGAAGATTATAATTATCAGGGAAGCAAGTAAACCGGGCGAGAAGTGCGAAAAAATATACTGTTGAAGTTGAAGTGGTGGTGATATTTAAACTCCAGCAGTTTCTTTTCGTACCTTTCCCGCCTAATCTATTATTCTGTCGGATTCCTATCTCTACATGTGTGTACGAGTGAAAATGATATATAAGTTTTTTTATACCAAAAAACTGTTTAATAATAATTAAATTAATAACAAATTGGAAAAAAATTTCATGTGACTCCTTTTACCTTTAGAATTTCATCGGACCAGTGATTTTTACGTTGCGCATGCGGTAGCTAGATCAACGTAAACATCTCTTTAGTCCTATGAAGTCTTAGAAGAAGAAACGTATCACAATTTTTTTGATTAACATATATATATATATATATATATATATACACACATACACACAGAGAAAAATGGAAAAATCCTACGTGACGCGTTTCGTCATTCAAAACACCCCCTTGATATTAAATAATGTTTTAGCAGAGAAAATTCAACAATATTAAGTAGGCAAACGGAGATCGCAGAAACTGTAAAACCAATTTCCATTGGCTGAAATAAAATTTAAAGAAATACAAAGCAGTAAAAGCTAAGACCAAATTTCGCATAAAATGGACGGAAAACTAGCCGGGATGTAATCGCTCCTGGTTGGGTTTCTTGGGAAAGAGGTTCTGATGTTTTGAGAAATAAAAAACACTGATAAAGTTTCGCGGCACACCATAATGTTTTTTGCACTGTTATTGATGAGGTTATATTTACGTAGTTGAAGGAAATGAGATACAAAAATAAATGCCAGTTACAATTCTGCACCGAAAGGAACGGTGAAAATGCAGGGGAGCTTAACTTTAAATTTAAATTTCTCAATCCTGTTGCATCAAGATGCGTAACATGGCCTACGTTATTCAGCTTTTTACTGCTTCCGTTTTAGCGTCTCTGCATTTTCAAGATGTCTTCCCATCTATAATTATAAGCGATGGAGCACTTCGACCTGGTTAGCAATCTTTTCTTCCTAGATCAATTACGCATGAGAAGTGAGTTCGATCCTCACTGAGTGCAACATACTTTTCGCCTTGTGCCACATCTAAGCTACGCTAAGAAAACCACTATAATTTTAAACGATGTTTGTTTGTATTTCATTGATTTGCTCTAAAAATATATGCATAATCCCATCAATAAATACATTGTTTAATTTAAGGTACTGTATATTTTTCCGACAGATTTTATCATTACAAACGTTATTTTTAGTTGATACTCATATTTGAGTGGACGCTCTCTTTGACTGCTGGTGGTACCAAACACTGAAGTACAAACAACGCATGTTATGGCTACCCAAAACACGAATGAATGTGAACTTTCACTGTTGATAACACCAAAACGGTAGATTTTATCAAATTTATCAAGCCAGATTCGAATGAAGCCTGTACAATTACACATAAATCTAAGTATTCTCGAAATTCTTAATGCGAACTGAGCGCTGGTGTTTCACCGCAAATTAAGCAATAAAAATATCCAAATGAATATAAAATCGGCCATGTGTACTAATTCCATGATTATTGATTGGCGTTGCAAGCACTCTTCTTTTAGTATATCAAATTTTAAACAATAGATACACACACACGCATATATATATATATATATATATATATATATATATATATATATATATATATATATATATATATATATATATATATTAGTAGTAATCTTATAAGTATAAGAAATTATACTCATTCGAAAACCTTCAGTGTTTTGATTTGCAAATAATCAAACCAATACCAAAGGGAAAAAAGGTATAAAAAATAGAAAAAACCAAGAACATGTACGTTAGCCGAAAATAATCGTCTAGCATGCAAGTCCAAGGCCCAAAGAAAAAAACCTCGATACGAGTAAGCAAAATAACTAAATAAAGTGCCCAATACAGTAACTAGAGCAGACCTAGTTGATCGTCAGGGAAGGCTGGCTGACGATTCGCTTAGGTAAAACCTTGGTAGGTTTGTCTGGCTCTCTGGGTTTAACTGTATGTATATATATATATATATATATATATATATATATATATATATATATATTGCTAATGTAGATTTTGTGCTGTACATATTATACCGGGTGTGATAGAATTACATCCCATATATACCACCCAGAAATAGCTCCCATATAATGGTAAGGCCTTAGTAGAAATAGTTTCTTCATCTAGCTAATGTTTTATCATTATATAGGAGGTGTTTCTGGTAAGTATAGGTGGGTGGTATTTTTGTAGTATCCTGTATAAAAGTATTTTTCTAAAGATAACGGTTTATGTTAAAGTACAAGTTTAGCAGATTGCCTTATATCCTACTATATATATATATATATATATATATATATATATATATATATATATATATATATATATATATATATATATATTGTTTATACGTTATTTTATAGATACAAATATTTAAGTGCTCTGTTTATAATAAACACCATTAACAATATTTACCGGCCTGAATGTCTGAGAAATTTCATAAAAAATATGTGTTCTCCGACTGGAGTTGAACCTTTATCCTACACGGAACCGTCATATTGCCTGACGTGCTATACCATTTAGCTACAGAGGAAGCGTCTGGTTACCAAGGTCACACTCCTTCTAACCAGACGCTTCCTCTGCAGCTTTTAATTGAAATTTATATTTTTTTAACCAGCCGCCGCCGCCGCTGCCTTCTTCTTCTTCTTCTTCTTCTTCTTCTTCTTCTTCTTCTTCTTCTTCTTCTTCTTCTTCTTTTGTATGTGTATGTGTGCGTGTGTTTGTGTTTTGTAGAAGTTATAATAGGTTGGGTGATAAATAATTTCAATTACTTTTAGGGAACCAATTTTCATATCCTAGCTACTAATCATACATGACAGTGAAGCCTTTGGAGCGCGTTAGCATAGGATAATGTTCAACGGAAAAGGCAGTGGAATTGACAAGGCTGTATCTCCACAACCGACCCCAAAGCCATGGAATATAAGTAATTTTATGTGTATGGTATGAACGTGGGCTATTATTCATTTACAAGTCTTAAAACGCAATGAAACACGAAATGCACATTTATACATCCAGCAGCTGCAACGTGTTTGTAAAAGTTTGCTCGTCAATAAGGAACTTCTCTATGACAACGCAAGGTCGCATATTCACCTGCACCAATTGATTATTACCTTTTTCAGTCGCCGGAAAACGCTTTGACGGGGAAACCTTCCTTTCTGTAATGAAAACTAGATTCAAGATTTTGTTGAAAACTTTTTCACATCAAAACCTATAGAATTTTATCCAAAAGTATCGAAAAGTAGCAAAAAGTCTTTGCAAATAATGCTCATTTTTTGTTATTAATTTGTTATGTCGGAAGCCTACAACCCCTCTTGAAGATGAACTTGTCTGCGTCTGTGAACAAAGACTTTAAATAGTGGCATGTCAGTTGACATGGGAAAGACAGATAGACTGAGAAGTTCTTAGCTGAGCGAGTTATTGACTACTCAGGAGATTTCTGTACCTTACCAACCTATTAAAACCCTTTTTATT